TTGGGAAGCCTGAGGGGAAGAGACCTCTGGGGAGACCTAGACATAGATGGGAAGATAATGTCAGGCGGGGTCTATGGGAGATAGGAGTTGAAGGAGACTGGATTTTGTTGGCCCAGGACAGGGACCGGTGGAGGGCTTTGGTTAATTCGGTGATGAACTTTCAGGTTCCGTAAGTTAGTTAGCTAGCTAGCTAGTTAAAAGCAGCGAAACCAAACCACTGATGAAACGGAAGTGATGTTTCTCGTATGCATCCTCCGTGTTTCTAGATCATTTGCTTACAACACGTGAAAGCCAGTTCTAACTAACTAACTAACTAGCCCGAAGGTTCGTCACCGAACTACCCAATGTCCTCCACCGTTCTCTTTACTTTTTCTTGTAAAGAACGGTCGGCTACAAATAGAACAGAAAAACCACCCAAAGCAACATCGACTGTTTATCCGTCAATGATTTAAACGACGACATACCAACTGCAGAGTTTGTAAACAGCTGCTCATGACTTGAATAAAGGTATCAGAATTTCATACGCGTGAACTGAAGGAAACCAGAGACATCGTTAGGTAAGATGACAGCCGATGTGGTCAGCTGCCCGTCTAACATTTGCTCTGCCCTGTTTGTTTGCAGTACCGTGTGTTGAGATCCGTCACCTGGAGACACATTTACAGCCCTTACTCCGGCTCTAGACATCTGGCGTGCTTCTACGCCGGCAGTTTGCTGGACGACTTCCTCAGGTTCCTGCGAGTGGCCCGCCATTGGCCAACCAAATTGGGGTTAGCCATGCTTAACCCAGATTTGGAAAACGAAGTCTTCAAACTGAGTGTTCGGTGCTTGATATTCATATACCACTTCGAGAAAGGAACTGAGAAATTTAAACGCGATTATTCCATCTCTGGGGAAATGCTTATTAACCTTTGCCATGGCTTGACAACGAAACATGTCAGGATGACCACACATGAACAGGCGGTGACAGTCAATGGGACGGAATGCCACATCGAGGCTTATTATAGGTAAGTAAGGGGACATTAACTTGGGGCCCCGCGATAGGGAAATCCTTTTATCAATGAATAACACGCCATCTTCAGGTTCTACTACTAATTAGCAACACGGTCGCTCTCCAGACACGCAAGGGGTGGGGGTGGGGTGGCGGAAGCAAATGGTGCATACTGAATTTTGGCAGGGAATCCTTCTGGAGAAAGACCACTGGGCGGACCAGGAAGGAGATGGGAGGATTATATCAAGATGGATCGAAGGGAGGTGGGCTGTGAGGATGGCAAATGGACGAAGTGGGTGCAGGATCGTGGCCGGTGGCGGACTTTTGTGTTGTCGGCTTTGGATATGCGGGTTCTTCTACCAGGGAGTTAGTCGGTCTCCAGAGAGCGCAGCGGTGGTACGTTCTCCATGCATGGCTGACTGACAGCGCTCGCAAAATAGGTCCAACGCACTGTGGCTGTGCGATTGTAATCGTACACTCTCAGTTTGGAATGATTTTGCAAAACATTTTTGAGAAGGCCTCGTTTCAGTGTCAGGTCCAATGGCGAAGTCAGAATATTGAAGCTACTCAGAGTCGCTTGTAAAATGCTCCGCTACAAAACTGGAACCCCTAAACAGGTCTGAAGTATACTTACGATATTTTTGGAAGCTTTATATCACAAAAAGGAAGTCTTAAATGTTTTACAGTAAAAATGCTTCTTTCTCGCCGTACTATAAATTATTGTTCAACTTGAAACTGATGCCGTCTGTCACAGCGACTTGTTTAGTTAGAAGTAATCCGGAAACTTAGGAAGGAAGCTTGATCACAAATTACATAAACGCACATTATTAAAACCTACGTTTTTCCCACCCGCACGCCATAGTCTGTTCACTTCTATGGATCGAGCAATTCTTGCTGTTTATTCTGATTCCCCTTTCTCGTTACTGAGCGTGAATTCGCGTAAGCAAGAATAAATATCAAATCTCAACCCGGAGACGGATATCTTGATCGATATTTTCCTCGCTGACTTTCTCGTGAGAGTCGTGAATGCGCCACCTCCATGAACGACTGTCCACTGTTGTGGGACATTTGTTTCTTTGTTCGAAGAATCCCAGCCGATTGCTGACAGGCACAAAGCATAGCGCTTCAGCGTGAAAAAAGGATAAGTTATTGGCAGCGCGTTCTATTATGTCTGTCTGAAGTACGTGATGTTCCGAAAAAAAAGCGATGTTTGTGTCCGTGTCGAGAACCTTGTGAGGTAACCGGTGGGCAAAACGGGCCGCTGTCCAACCCCCCAAAGCCCCCCCCCCCCCCCCCCACTTAC